AAACTTGATCAGTACACCCTTCTGTACCGTCATCTTTCCAGATATTAAGTGAAAGACAATTTATGAATTCTTTGCACATTTGAGATTTTGAACATTGTTTCCGAGATATTGGTGGCCATATTGGAGCCTCATCAATAGATTCCTCTACAAAGATGTACAACATCTCATGGTGGAGTACTTTTGAGGTGGCATATGCAATGTGTGACCTACAGATAAAAACAAAAGTAATATGTTTGGCACATTATCTCACTGAGGGCATACATCACCAATCGTAAGTTTGAACTTTTGGTTGTTGTAAAGTGATTTGAATTTGGATCATTTTAATGTTTTTATTCACAGAATGAAACAAGTTGCATATTGAAAGATCTCTCTCCCGATACCATATATCTCTACAATGTACGTACTTTTCTTATATTCTTATAAATATTATTGGTGTTTGAATTATGGTTAATTTTAGCCTAAAAATGATTATACTTTTTGTCAGTATTGCAGCTTTAAATCCACATTATTTTCTGATTATTTTTTTGATTTTACTCTTAGCACTCTTGGAGCATAACCTACAACTTATACCAAATTTTCCTGGCCAGAAAGTACTTAGTAACAATTTTTTAGTTATTTCTGGAACTGCTTTTTTAATATAAGTTCTGGATTATTCTGGGGTTCTGGATTATTACCTATTTTATGGGTGAACCTCAAAAAATTTTCTACTGCCGGTACTCTGTATTAAAATCTTTCTTTTTGGCTGTACTACTATATCTCTGATACCCATGTACAGTCTCATATTTTTTCACATTCAACGTAATACATGCTTATGTTTATTTAACAAATAAACTGGAACACACTTACGATACTGGCACACGCTTACTTTACTTGAGTTAGAATACAAGAACTGCATAAATATGAAAAATAGAAATACAAATATTTTGATCTTACCGTATATTAAATTACAAATTTAGAAGTCATGAAATACATCTGATTTTTGTTGATACTTAATTCACTCTAAATTACTGACCATACACTACAATTTCATTGATAAACAATTTACCTGGTCACATGACCAATAATTTGCATATCCAATTTGATTACATGTATTACTGGAGGTATGTAGCAACACATTTTCAAAACAATTCAATTTGCTAAATCAATCAATGATAAAGATGATAGATTTGCAGTCATTTTGTTTTTGGCCATATAACTTTATCTTGGGCAGGAATAATATTTTCCCTAATTACAACAGGGACTGTGTCATTAACAATGACTTGTATGACACTGTACTAAAAATACATAATTTATTTACTGTTTCCAATCTTAACATGAATTGTATTTTTTTTTTGCAGTTTCTTGCATTACCGAATATAATGTACCATTTCAAGTTGGCCTTTCCTTACACCTTTAACACAAGTAAGTGATATAGCCAATGTAGGAATGGTATAACGGGAAAATGTTATTTATGTTGTTCTCAATGTACCAATAACTCAAATGCTTTGTTATCACACAGTAATGATGCTTAGTGTGAAAAGTATGCAACATCAGTCTCTGTGTGCTCGAACAGTACACAGAGAAAAACAAATTGTGCAACTGTACAGTTTTCACCCCTGTGATATTAATTCACAATTTCTCTGTCGTATTGACGATGTAATAAAAAAGTTAAGAGTTGGTTGATAGTCATGACATTAGAGGCTGTATTATCCAGCCCATGGTGCTACTTGTATCAATTAGCTCTATGATCAAATGATGTCAGGTAATAACCTCATAGTATCACACAATCTTATATCTTGAATATTTCAATTGATCAATCTATGTCTCAATTGTATTGACATATCTATATGCACAATAAAACATCTTTAAAAATAGATTCAAAATAAGAGATATTTAAAAGATAGAGGCACATATGTATTTTGGTCCTTCCATGGTTTTTCCCATAGAGGCACTTACGTATTTTGGTCCTCCTATAGTTTCTCCCATAGAGGCACATATGTACGGATATTTTGGTTCTCTTATGGTTTTTCCCGTAGCGGCACATATGTATTTTGGTCATACTATGGTTTTTGTCAGATTTTATGTGCTCCAACTGACATTTTGTTAGCAGGTAATTTATGTAAGCACATACATATACAGTTAATCATCGCTGTAAAATGTTTGTTTGACAGCTTCCCTGCTTGACGAAACAACTACATATCAGACAACAGTGAATAAAACTTTGGTATCCACCTTGAATTCTAAGAAAACAGTTACAGTGTTAATAGAAGACATTGCTGAAGATACTTCGGAAGATGATAAAATGAATGTTGTTACGTTGGTACTGTACATTACTCTGCCTTTGCTCTGTCTGTTTGTCGTGGTGGTAATTGTGTACGTCTTTATTCGACATCATAAATTTTCATCAATGACCGAACAAATGATGAAGGACAAAGAAGAAGGTGTTCCTAATATTTATATATCGCCAAAACTGATTAAACGGTGAGTTGCTTTTTTGGTAACTTTCAACTTGATCTCATTGTGGTAGATGTATGATCAGGTTATTGTAAGAATTGTTCTAACTTTTTCAAATTGTTATTTGATTTTTTGCTATGGTTTTTAGAGATTTGTAATATATCTTGGAATTCTGTGATGTGTGCGTACTGGATGTATTCGAGTCATTAAATATATCATAAAGACTTGACAGAATAATCTACTAATGATGTAACCATGTTCTGTCTGAGTTCATGAAAAATTGTATGTGGTATATTTAGTGAACATATTTCGGTCAAAATTCTTAGCTTACAAATTGTGGAATAGTCTAATAAAGCCATATTTGTTTTTGTTTTTTGTGATCAGTGATAACTCATATTGTCCAATCATCACATCTCATAATATCCATGTGACCACAGATTGTCCAATCACTGCAGCACATAATATTCATGTGACCACAGATTTTCCAATCACTGTAGCACATAATATCCATGTGACCACAGATTGTCCAATCATCATGTCACATAATATCCATGTGACCACAGATTGTCCAATCACTGCAGCACATAATATCCATGTGACCACAGATTGTCCAATCACTGCAGCACATAATATCCATGTGACCACAGATTGTCCAATCATTGCAGCACATAATATCCATGTGACCACAGATTGTCCAATCATCACGTCACATAATATCCATGTGACCACATATTGTCCAAACATCACATCACATAATATCCATGTGACCACAGATTGTCCAA